TTTTTCAAAACTTGCATTTTTCAAATTATTTAACTTGATTTCATTGTTTATATTCACTATGCATAGCCAGCCCTATGTTACATAAGGACATTTTCATATAAGCATACAACATACATTGCCCATGTCCCCCCACCCTTCCTTCCCTCCCTTCTCACCCCACCTCCTCCTCCTCCTTTGATTGCCGCCTTCTTCCAGAGTTTCATTTCTATTTCCTTATCATGTATGTATAAACATTTTTCATATCTACATAAAATCTACCAACCATAATGAGAAAACATCAATTTCTGTTTTTTTCAAGTTTGGGTTTGTTTACTTAACATGATTATCTCCAGTTACATCCATTTTCTTGCAAACAATTTTGTTCTTTATTATTGCTGGAAAAATGTGATTTTTTTTTTGTTTTTTGTTTTTTGAGACAGGGTTTCTCTATGTAGCTTTGGAGCCTATCCTGGAACTTGCTCTGTAGACCAGGCTGGCCTCAAAGTCACAGAGATCCGCCTGCCTCTGCCTCCCGAGTGCTGGGATTAAAGGCGTGCGCCACCAATGCCTGTCGGAAAAATGTGATTCTATACACATATTATGTGTTTTTAAGTTCACTCTTCTGTTGTTGGACACCAAGATAGGTTCTGTAACTTAGCCATGTGAGTAGTGCTGCAATGAGCATTGTGTGCCTGGATTTCTGTGATATGCTGGCTTGGCGTCCTTCAGGAAGTCCCTGAAGTCTTGAAGCTGGGTCAAAAGGTGGATCTAGTTTTGCCTTGCTGAGAAATCTCCATACTGATTCCCATAGTGGTTGAATTAGCTATGGAACCCCTAATGTGTACCAGACAAAGAGGCTTTTGAGTAGTTTGGGAGAAGGGAAATGCAGACAAGACAAAATGCACTTATGTGGCATCTAGGCATTAGGAAACAACCCAGACTGTGGCAGAGAGGAAGAATATAGTTCGGTAGGATCACCCCAATAACCAGACATGCCTGGGGCAGAGTGCACATGAGGACATGGACACAGGGAGGCTGAGAAAACAGTGGAAGTCACTGGATCTGGCTCAGCCAGCCAAAGAGTTAATAACAATTATTTGATTTTCTGAAACTTTCCACATTTTATGCCAAGTAAGAATGCTAGTTCCTGAGCCAAGTGTGGCAGTGCACATCAGTAATTCCTATTCTCAGGACACTGAGGTAAGGGGACTGTGAGTTCCTGAGCCAAGTGTGGCAGTACACATCAGTAATTCCTATCCTCAGGACACTGAGGTAAGGGGACTGCGAGTTCCTGAGCCAAGTGTGGCGGTACACATCAGTAATTCCTATTCTCAGGACACTGAGGTGAGGGAGCTGTGAGTTCCTGAGCCAAGTGTTGTGGTACACATCAGTAATTCCTATTCTCAGGACACTGAGGTGAGGGAACTGTGAGTTCCAGGTCAGCTTGGGCTACAGGTATAGCAGGGCACCACCAAAAGTTCCTCTTGTGATGGCCAATTAGATGTCAAGGAGTTGGGGGTCATTCGCATACGATATCCCTTGGCTTGCCTTTCTGCAGTCCACTGAGTGGGAGCTAGGATGAGAATAATCCCCAGGAGTCAGTCACCAGGCTCGGTGTTTGATAGTCATCCTGAGCCCTGGACACAAAGTAAAGATATGTCCCTGAGGGGACACATCTCCTCCCAAGTTCCCTATAACTTATCTCTGGCTTGAGGCTCTTGGGAAGTTTCTGGCCTTGGAATCACACCCCATTTCCTGACTTGCTGTCACTGATTTTTTCAGCATTACTGTATTTGGAAACATAAAAAGAGAAGTAAAGATTTTTACACTGTTATACTCAAATGTAACCATCTGTTTTGTGTCTTAATATACTTGTTTTGAAAAGCAGTGAACTTTTGCTGAAAATGCCTATTCTGTCTTCAACCCATTCTCAAAAACTCTGCTAATAAAAGAAACACTAAGATTCCAAGTCACTTTTTAAAGTACAAAATAACACCACCATAGGCAAAAACTAAAATCTACAAAACAGAGCCAGTGAGATGGCTTGGCAGGCAAAGGTGCTTGCTGCCACGCCTGACAACCTGAGTGTGATAGCTGGGTCCTGTATGGTGGAAGGACAGACCACTGATTCCCACGCACTGTCCTCTGCCCTCCACACGCATGCTGTAGCCTCTCTCTCTCTCTTTCTCTCTCTCTCTCTCTCTCTCTCTCTCTCTCTCTCTCTCTCTCTGTGTGTGTGTGTGTGCGTGCATGTGTGTGTGTGTGTGTGTACATGTATACACCTGTAAAATACCTAAAACAAAAGGCAGAAGTGAAGAGGAGGAGGGAGGGAACCAGAATGAAGAGGAAGGAGAGGCAAGACAAGATATCCGGTCCTGCATTCACAGGAAGGATGGGGCTAATCTCTCCCAGCCTCCTGCCTCTGTTTCTGCAGAACGGCTCTTAATCATGATTGTAACGGCCACATGTAATGAAGCCTTCCTGGAGGTGAACCCGGCTAGTGAGGTGCTCAAGATGTGGTGCTCTTCCCAGGAACCACAGGCCTCAGAAACAGACCAGAAAAGAGCCCCCTTCGAGATAACCTGGTTTGACTTGACCTCCAACTGGTGCAGTTAGGGATAGGTGAGCATCCAGTTGGCACTGTGGTGGCAAAAGGCTAAATTCACTCTTTTTTGTTCCCAAGAAAGCTGCTAAGGTTTCTGTAGTCTGTGCAGTGGAGCTGCTGGATGGGCCACCGCTCCTCTGGGTGATGTTCATGCTTACAGGAGGAGTAGAAGCAGGTCTTAGGCAGTGCTGCTGTTAGCCGGTCAAGGGGAGGTGAATATGGTGGCCGAGGTAGCACCAGGGGAGCCGTGTTAATAGTGGACATGATTGGGTGGGCAGCGCGGATTCACTTCCGGTGCTCATGGCTTTCTCCACACTCTACTTTCCGTATGCCATCACTTTCCTTTGCTTGAAGACATCTTCAGCATACTCAGAAGCAGTTCTGTTGCTGCAGACTTCTGTATGTGTATGTGAAAGTGTCCTTATTTAGCCCTTGTGTTTGAAGGATAGTTTTGGTTTTTTTTTGGGGGGGGGTGTTGTTTGTCTGTCTGTTTTGCCCTGCAGCCCTCCAGCAAACATTGCTTTCTGCCATTATAGTTTTATTTTCCCAGCATTGCCTACCTTTCTACCATGTTAGCCACTAGATGCCCTGGTTATCAGTGCTTCCCGGATGAGCTGTACACCAATGTGCTTGCATCTGTGACTCTCTCTCCTGAGACAATGTCCCCAAAGGTCAGGATTCAGCAGGAGCCTCATCTCTTCCTGGTGTTTCTCAAGGATATTTAATTAAAACCTTGGCTCTTTTCTAGCATAGCTCCAAGAGCCTCATAATGCTTTTAGGACTGCAATTCTGAGTTACTCTCTAGACTGAGAACCCCATGAGGATGAGGACCATGTACCAATGACTTTGCCCTTGGCATCTAACATCACGCTGGCATCAGTGTGTAGTGAGTGGCGAAGAATGAAGGTCTGGGTGCCCTGTTACTCCTTTTCCATCTCTGCTTTCTTCCTATCTCCTTGTGTTTTGTTTCCACGCTGTAAGTAAATTTCCGCCACTTTACCGCAGCAATGAGTTGTAGTCTACTAATCAGAGTTTTCTTAGCTCTCTACATTTTGGAAAATGGATTTTAAACCTGAGCAAACAAACCAAAAAAGTTCAAACATTTGTTCATGGTGTGGCAAATGCCATGAGTCCATCTGTGAGTTAATGCCCTTATCTGTTGAAGAATGTGATGTCTGACAAAATCTGTGGATAAACAGCCATACACCTGGTATTCTGTTCTAAGATGTCACATCACTGCCTTTTCTCCAATCTGGACTTTTAAGATGTCCCACATGGAAGCCACATCTGTGGTCCCCAAAGTTCAGGCTAGGCTTAGCACAACACTTCTTTACAGGGATGTTAAGAAATAAGAAAGGTAAAGTTCCTAACTCACTGGCTGGCTGTAATGGGTGCTCATGAGTGCTGTCTACACTGCAGGCTCCTCCTGAATTTCCTCAGGGTACTGAAGACCTATTTCCCCCCTGAAATTCAAGGATCAAAGAGTGAAAAAGACTAGGTGTCAACAGCTGGAGCCAGACAGATCCTCTCCTCAGCTGCCTGAGCATCAGTCCTCCTCTCTGAACCTGGCCTGTCAGATTGTCTGAGCATGAGGAGCTATATGCTCCACTTTGAGCTCAGTCTATGTGAGGGCATCACACTAGCTGCTGCCAAAGTCATCACCTGAAATTCCTTCCCAGAACCCTGAAACCTTCTCAGTCTTCACACACCCCCACATTGCTTGAAAAGGGGTTCCAGACTTTGTGTATGGGTAGGAGACTTGAGCAGCTATTCTGAGCAGACAGGCAAGGGCAGGGGCAGGATGGTGGTAGCCAACGTGTTTGCCATAAGATGTTTAGCAACAGCTGGCCTCAGTCTGAATTCATATGACAAGAATTAATCCAAGACACCCAGGTAACATTCTTTACTGTTTGCTAATGTGCAAACATAAAGGTAATAGAAAGTAGCTCTAGTACTCTTTCTTTCTGGACTAGAAAAGCAAGCCCCCTTTAAAGCTGTAGGTTTAGCTCTATGAAGCTTGGAGCTGCTGAGTCCATGTTGAAAACTGTTTATGTCCTGTACACACAGACTCCCCATTCCGTATAGCAGCTTTCATTCCAACCCTGGAAGCTGCTTACGGAACACCTTTACCTTTTAGCATTCCAGAGGTGAATGAAATTGAGGTGAGTGACTCCACATGTCTGAGTCCACCAGAAGGTTTGGGATGCTTCTTACCTGAGGAAATACAAGAGGGGTTGTTTCTTCCACTGTCTTTGTAAGCTGGACATGGCAAGGCTGTGCTTCCTGGCCACTCTCGAGTCTACATTCACATTCCAGGAAGCTGAGGCCCTCACAGATACAGCAGCTACAGGTTGGTGATGGTGGCTTGTGAGTTCAAAAAAAATCCTGCTTAATTTTCCCTCTATTTTAGGAGCATCTGAAGGCCTTTGATAATGAAGTTAATGCTTTCCTGGACAACATGTTTGGACCACGAGGTGAGTGGCCTGCTTGTCTCTGGGGTTCTGAAAACTGTGGCGTCTGGCCTTATGGATTGTAAATTGCTTTGCACAAGGAGCCCCTTTCCCAGAATAGCAGAATCCGCATTTCTTCTGCCCCACCGTGTTTCCTGGAATGAGGGGCAGGTGAAATGTAAATTTTCCTCCAAGGTATCAGCTATGAAGCCTGGTGGTCCCTTTGCTTTCTCCACCTCCTGTCAGCCTCTAGTCAAAGCCTTTCTTTCTCACTCACATGGATACAGCCACTCCAGACATCTTTTAACTCCTCAAATATGTAAGTTTGTTTCCCTGTGCCTGGAATTTCTCCCTGCTATGTCTTCCCCTCTCCCCTCTGATGCTGCTCCTATTGCAGACACCAGCTGTGGGCTTTCTTGGGTGCCTTCCTCCCTACTGCACCTCATACTCTCATCTCCACATTTCTCTCCTGCACAGGCTTCCGAGAGGCAACTTGTCTCTTGAGAGCAGGAGCCATGACCCTGTTCACCATCCATCACCATGGCATAAACAGCTCTGGGAACAGAGGACCGATACTTCTGACTAGATAAAGTCTGGACAAATATTTTGCTTCACTTGCGCTTGGTTGTTTGACAATCCTGTGGGAAATCTTTGGTTTCTACAAGTGGTTTCCTCAAGACTGTAAAGATGGGAAGAGGGGCTGAGGTCTTCCCACTTCCCACAGCCTTTACACAAACTTGGAGATTCTTTGGACCATTTCCCAGTTCCCACTGAGGCTCTGAAACCTGTTCTAAGTGAATGGTGACTTTCGTTGTTTTAATAGAAACTGTGCAGCTTGGCAGGGGGTTTTCCAGTCATTCCCTGTGAGAATTTGTGATGGACCAGCAGTGTCTGTCTGTAACCTCTGAATACCCTGCTTGCAGTTGTAGTAAAGTGGGGAGGAATTGGCCCAGAGTGGAGGGCGTGGCCTCTTGCTTAGGCAGGACACCACAGGAGCTGTGAACTCTCGGGGCCCACAGCTTTCTGTTTCTCCCAGCAGAGAATTAAACATTGATCTGTCTCAACTAAGTTCACACTAAACTTTGCTGTCAGTAGGTTAGTGGGAGCTAGAATGAATGTAGCCCAATTGAGGAAAGGATTGCAGTTGTTTGCTGTGCTTCAGTAATTCTGGTGGATTTTCCCTTGGTAGCAGGGAGATTATAAAATTAACAATTTGACCACTGAATTGGGTTACTACAGTCACATCAAGAATCCTTGTCCCTTCTTAAAGGTGACCCACACAGTGACTGTCATACCTGATGACCTCAGAGGCACCCTCAGCTTTTTCTGATCTTGTGCACACCCTATCAGTAGCCTGTGGGATATGCCAGACACCGGCAAAGAATAACATTACTCAAGTATCAAAGAAACAACTTTAAAATATGCTCCCATATTTTAGCTGCAGCAGTTACAATCACCTTTAACTGTGGTGTGCATAGACAACAACATGATAAGCACAATAAAAAGTTCAGGTGCTATGTTTACAGAGTGCCAGCTGATGTAGTTTACGTGAGTCTCCTCCTAACTCTAAGAATGTTAGTTACAGGTAAGACAGGAGAGGTTGACTGGTTCCTCCTTTCCTCACAGAGCACACGCAGTGATTGCAGAGGGAAACCTAGCATGTGGGAACAGTCAGGGAGCAGCCAAGACACTAAGTTGTAAGCATGCATTCCCTAGGATTAGGTGGCTTTGACATTTCAATCCGAATCATATCCCCACAGTTCTGAAGTCAAGGTAGGGCTCACTTTGTTCCCTTGACATTATAGGAAGAACCCATCTGGTGCTGCTCTCCCAGTGTCAGATTGCTGGCAGTCTGGTGTTCCTTGGCCCCTAGATGGCATCTTTGTCTTCACATGTCATTCCTTTGTCCTTTTGTTCTTCCCTTGTAAAGACACCACTTAGGGTTTGGGCCCACCCTAATCCAATATGATGCAATCTTAACATGATTACAACCGCAGACCCCAGTTCCAAGGAAGTCATGTGCATACATCAGGTGTCAGGCTTGAACATGTCTTGGAGGGTCACAGTTCAGTGGCAGCACTATGACATGGAAAGGGAAGCTGATCATGGTGTGCCTTCTGCCCTCTGTGGCTCGGGCTCCCTAGGGAACCTCAGGAATGTCTGTCTTGTTTGTCTAGGAGGATTGCTTTGAGAAATCTGTCAACATGTGTCAAGGCGTTAGGCATCACCTAACATGGAGAAAGCCCTCACAGTTAGCTACAGCATGACAGCCCAAACAAGAACCCAATGTGATCATGACCTTGTGGAGCAAATGAAACTGTGCTTATGAAAGGGAGTGGGAAATGGCTCCCTTGAGAAGGCAGAGTCTTCATGTGGCCATTCAAGGGTGGGCACATAGTCCATGTGCTTCTGTGTCTGAAAGGCTGTAGCAGATCTGAGCCTGGAGCTCCTACCACTCCCCTACCAGTGGCTCTCTATCACCAAGGGAGCTGTCTGAAGAAGACTCCTTGGCACAGCGACAGTGCTCACAAAGGCACTCACTTTCCTCATTAGTGTGTCTGTAAGTGTGCTAAGAAAAGTCGGAGTAGACAGTGTGTGTGTGTGTGTGGGGGGGGGTCCCAGTGTGGACTGAGGCTGTGGGAGAACCAGCAAGCTCAAGAAAAGGAAAGTGCCTGTGGTGGAACCAGTTTTGTCCTATCTGTGTAGGTTAGAAACAGCATGCAAATTTTGTGATTCCAGGCCAATCTTTACACAAAAGGAGACTATGGAACAAATTCCATATGTACTTAGAGGCCACTTCCCAGGTGTTAACCCAGTGCCATAGCGTGATCATAGGCTGTCAAGTTTCTCTCTCTGGAGGAAGGGCATCTGGTGAATCCTGGCTCTTATGCCTGCTATTGACACTTCTAGTCCTGAGACAACTAATGCTATAGCCACAGTTTTGTATCATGTTATTCTCAGTCACTCCAAGACTCTGCCTTTTTATCCTTAGTGCCACATGCTCTGTGTTCTGGAATGCCACCACTCTGGAAACTGGGTGTTGGGGATTATGATACAATGTGCCCTCTTTTGCCTGATCTTCCCATTGGGAGGGTCTCAGCAAAGAATATGGATTGAGGTGGCAGATAGAATTCAAATCCAGACCTGCTGTCATTGTATTGTCTTTTCTCCGCTGTTTTCTCATCCATACGGTGTGTTGAGTTAGCCTGCATAAGTGCAGTAACTGATGCAAAACATCCAGTGGCTTCCTTCCACCTTTCTGTCCTTCAGGGTTCAACTGAAGCCATTTGATGTTCCATGAAAGCTCCTTAGATTTAAATGTGTGTGTCCCTGTGTGAGCTTACATGCACTGTGATGTAAGGGACCTCAGATGTCAGAAGAGGCATCAGATCCCCCGGAACTGGAGTCACCAATGGGTATGAGCAGCCATGTGGGTGTTCAGCACTGAACCCAAGTACTCTGCATGAACAAGTGCGCTGAGCCCTCCCTCCAGCCCTTAAATATCAGGGGTTTTGTTGTTGTTCTTATTTTTGAGACAAGGTCTCATTATGTAGACCAGGCTGTTCTAGAACTCAGAGACCTGCCTGTTCCTTCCTTCAGGTGCTGGGATTAAAGATGTATACCACCACCCCAGCCCTTGAAGGCTTTTGAATTTATTTTGTTACTTTTAACTGTTTATATATGAATATGTACACCTGAGTGCAGGTGCCCATGGAGTCCACTCTCGTGAAGCTGGGTAACTGCTGAGTCCTCTCAGAAGTCCCTAGGAAAACTTAACTGGGCAGCCTTGCTACACTCTAGCTTGCGTAACTCAGCATCGTGTTGTTCCCGTGTGTGTGTGTGTGTGTGTGTGTGTGTGTGTGTGTGTGTGGCACATGCACGCACTTGTTACCCTTATCTGAGATTTTGTTCCTGTAGCTTCTGTTACCCACAATCTACTATAGTCCAAAAAAATTAATGGAAAATTCCAGAAGTAAGTTTTTATGTTTAAAATTACATACTGAGTAAAATGATGAACTCTGTTCTGTCTGGAACTTGAATTATCCTTTTGTTCAGTGTATCCATGATCTGTATGCTACCCACCCCTTAGTTATTCACTAGCCTTTTAGTTGTCAAGACTATGCAGTTGCACAGAGCTTGTATCAAAGTAACACTTGTTTTACTTAGTAATGGCCTCAGGTACAAGAGCAATGGTGCTGGCAATTTGGTTACTGCAAAGAAAACCATACATTGCCTCCTTTAAGTGGAAAGGTGAAAGTTCCCAACTTAATAAGTAAAGTTCTATTGCTGAGGTTGCTGAGATCTAGAGAAAGAACCAGGGTGTCTGTGAGTTTTTTCATGGAAAAGCAACTTGAGCTGGTTATGCAAGTGCATCTCAAATGGTGAGTGCTCAATGAGGACAGGAAATCAGTGTTCACTGGGACCTCAGAATCTCCCAGCTTGGATAAGGGCACCTGCTGCACAAATGAGTATGTGTGCCAGTATCGCTAACTGCGTAGGTGCTTGCTGCTCGGGCTCCTTACCATATGCGTCTCTTTCCAGATCCTCGAGTTCGAGGGTGGTTCCTGTTGGATTCTTACCTTCCGACCTTCATTCTTACCGTCATATATCTGCTCTCGATATGGCTGGGTAACAAATACATGAAGAACAGGCCTGCTCTTTCTCTCAGGGGAATCCTCACCTTCTATAACCTCGGGATCACACTTCTTTCTGCATATATGCTGGTGGAGGTAAGTGTGAGAACTGGTCAGGTGCGGCCTTCCAGAACTGTGAAAGGTGCGGTTAGCATGGTACCACTCTAAGATCCATGAAAGCTGTAGTCGCATTGGTACACTTCCCTCCCAAAGTGTCTGAAGCCCTTGTTTCTGACTTGAATGTGGGCCTGTTTCTGTAGTCCTTAGCCAAATTAAACCTAGAACCATGATTTGGTTTGAGGACCTTTTGAAGATCGTGCCATACACTTCTCTTCTCTTATACACCTTATGAGCCTGATCCAACCGCGTTAAATGGTTGACAGTGTGCAGAGATGCAGACGTCCCCTTGGAGGCCCCTGCCTAGTCTGTTCCATGCTGGCAAGCCCGTCTTGACACTAGTTGGCTCTAGCTGCCTACCAGGTGTTCAACTCCACCCTTTAAAACACCGAACTGCAGGAAGAAACAATGGTTGCTTTCCCTAATCATAATACAAGGAGAAATCTAAAGTATTCAACTTGCTCTAGCAAAAACAACAGAGCAAAAGGGACAAAATATTATTTTAAGGGAAAACCATTTACAAAGGTTATAAATGGTTAGTAATGACACAAGTAGGACTTTTCTACTTCCTAAGGCTTGCTGCTTAATTCTGGTATACAGTTGCCAAGTAATGAGATAAGTACCATGTGATTGGTGACAGCCTGAAAAATCTGGTTAAAACAGTCCATGCCCCTGGCAAACAGAATATGCCCTGTTCACTAAGGGGTTATCCCACAGCTGTACTGTTAGTATGGAAAACATATACTTCAACTGCAGCTTTCATCCTGAAAATGTTTTAAATATTTTCACGAAATATAGCCTTCTTAGTGTAAAATTTGCACCTGTGCTAGTGGGCCTGTACGTACACACACACCCCTTCCATCCTTTAAGGCATCCTGGATCTCCAGCCTGCCACAAGTAGGCAGCTTGGGACAGGAGCTTTAATAAAGCCCAGGAGGCTTCTGGGACCTGATTCATAATGCAGTGTATTGGGAAATCCCATGGGTTTCTGCTTTCATTGGACTCATTTTTCCTCAGAACTTTTAGCTATGATTACATCACCTGGTGGTGGTTTTTATTTTTTCTCTTTCTTTCTTTCTTTCTTTCTTTCTTTCTTTCTTTCTTTCTTTCTTTCTTTTTGTTTTCGAGACAGGGTTTCTCTGTGTAGCTTTGGAGCCTATCCTAGCACTCACTCTGGAGACCAGGCTGGCCTTGAACTCACAGAGATCCTCCTGCCTCTGCTGGGATTAAAGGCATACACCACTAACGCCCGGCTTGGAGGCGATTTTCTTAGAAGAGAAATACACCAACTACATCAGAACCGTGAAGAAGAGACCAGGGTTCCAAACATTACTTAGTCATCAACTTTGTTAAGATACAAGAAAATTCTAGGCCTCTGCCTGGAAAACCTTATATTCTAGAATTTTAAGTTGTTGCAGGGAGAAAGCTGCTTTTATAGAATTTTCAATGAAGAATTGAAAGATTTGTTTTCTCATGTCATAGAAAGACCAGAAAAGAATGAGTTAGGAACTCTGAGTTCTAGTGACACGCCTACCACTCCTTAGCTGTGCAACCCTGAGCAAATTACCTCTCATCAGGTATTACTGAATGTTCACTGCTTCCTGGGAATGGGACAAGGACAGCTAGATGATGGGCTTTTTAAAAATGGCAGCTTTTCATTAGAGACTAATAGGGAAGGGAGGTGTCAATCACACAATTTGTCAAGTAGCAGAGATGCAGTGAAGAAAATGTGTTAAGAACTTTCTGACCCTTTTAATATCTGTAAAATTATAATCTACATTTCATAAATTTATTGAAACTGAAGATATTTTAATGTAGCTTCCTCACATTTGTTTACAATTCTATGTTGTAAGATAGCTAAATAATTTGTGCTGTATTTATAGATGCTCTTCCATTTGGGTGATCTGAGTGGTTAGAAGTATGTGAAGGATTAGAAACCCTGGCTTATTGCAGCAGCAGGAACTAGCTCCTCACTGACGCTTGAGGACAACCGGTCAGATTCTGGGGGCACTCCCCCTAAAGAGTGGAAGCTGATGGGACATGTTCAGTACCGCCACATTCTTGTATTCATTTCTTTCCCTTCCTCTATGCTTTGGCAGCTCATCCTCTCCAGCTGGGAAGGAGGCTACAACTTGCAGTGTCAGAACCTCGACAGTGCAGGAGAAGGTGACATCCGGGTGAGCCCCTAGAGATGTTTCCATCCCCTCTACAGTTGGAATTTGGGATTACATTGAAGAGCTTTTGGGTCTGATGGAAAGACTTAGTGACAGACACGTGCTGGGTGGAGGGCTTACTGAGTCACACATCCTGCCTCTACCAGGTGCAGTGAGATGGCCTCAAAAACATATTTCTAGACATATTTAAGTGGACAACAGCCTATGCAGACTGTGTTTCTCAGGAATGCCTTTTGTGTGTATTATATATATTTTTTTTTAAAGAGAAGCAGTGGCAGGAGAAGCAGGAAGCTAGTGAGAACAGCCTCTTCTGTGGAAGCCGCACTGCTCTCAGCACACACCTGGTTTGATTTTTGGAATCATCCTTTTACATACATTGTAAAACAAAATTAAGTTTTAAGAGGGAACAAGGCAAGTTGCCTCCCCCAAACATTAGAAGCAAAGGTAAATGAACTCACAGCACAGGAAGGTACCCATGAGAAATTACAACAACTAGAGGATAGCCACAGGTGTGGGGCAGCATCTTAACCCAATTCATAATTCTTTGTTGCTATTATTTATAAAAATGCATTGCTACTTTTAAACAGCCATAGGACACTGAGGGATAAAGTATCTAATAAACTAACATCATTAGTAACTAGCATTTGAAAAAAGAGATTATCTATTTTTAAAAGTAGTAAAAATTAAACCCAGTAATCATAGATGCAAATGGGAAGTGTCATAGTTAAACCTCATGAAAGAGGCCATATTTCATATCTTTTATCTGCAGAAAAGGTCCCTTTATTCTGTGACAGCCCAAGGCACCGAACTTGACTTTACACAGTTTCTGTCTACCAGAGAGCATGAGGATTCTTAGGGGCACAGCCAGTTCCAGGTTTGGGCCAGGGACTGTATTTCAGAGGGCTCTGTCCCCTCAGCAGAGGATCTTCACATGGCTATTGGGGTCACCCATGGTTACAGGCGCCACCTTGAAAGACTCCCTTTCAGTGGATATCGAGGACAGTTCAAGCATCAGAAACAACACTGCCTGTGATGAGCTGAAATACACTGAGTGCAGGTTTTAAAAGGATGAAAAGGAGATTACATCTTAAAAAGAAAACTAGTCTCATGTTACTTTTTAAAGGCTGATACAACACCAAGTCATTGAGAAAAAATTAAGACAAATAATTAAACATACATCATGTCTTTATATGTGAATTTCCAAATACACAAGGAGAAAAAAATTCCCTATAGGGGAAAAATGTGTAAGTCATGGTAGAATCAGAACATCTCTTTGCATCTCCCAGAGACACGATGCATCCCTTGTAAAACTGTCCCTCACCTGAACAAGAGAGCATACACCTCCAGTGATGTGAAGCACACTGGTGGTTTCGCGTCACACATTTTTAGAGCTCTGACTATAGTATAGTAAGGCAGTCTGGGACTGAAAATGGTTCCGAGGAAAAGAAGGTAATTGGGTAAAGTTCCTGAGAGAAGGTGGCTGCTCAGATGAGGATTGGGAGGGATGGCTAAAATGTGTCAGATCTGAGGCAGGAAGACTGTTCCGTGTAGGTGGGAGATTCAGTACCTACACAGGTCGAAGAGACCACCTTTTGGGTTCAGAAAGCCTTGCAGGATGCTGGTGGAAGGTAGTGAAGATCCTGACCTTAGGTGGGGAGTCGTGAACAGCAGCCTGTGGGTGTGGGGTGTAACTTGGTTGGATGCATGTTTGGGAAAGATACCCCATCTTTCAGTAGAGAGGGGTAGACTACATGGAAGAAGAAGAAACTGGAGGGAAAGCCAGCAGATAAACAGCACTGCAGTCAGAGGAAGCAGAATGCTGTGTGCAGGGAGGAGCTGGGGTACACAGTCACCTTTCTCCTTCTTGAACTTGTAGGTAGCCAAGGTCTTGTGGTGGTACTACTTCTCCAAACTAGTGGAGTTCCTGGACACGATTTTCTTTGTTCTTCGAAAAAAGACCAGTCAGATCACCTTTCTTCATGTCTATCACCATGCCTCAATGTTTAACATCTGGTGGTGTGTTCTGAACTGGATACCTTGTGGTCAAAGTAAGTCCTTTTGGTAACTGTTAGTTCTGAGAAGTGAGTCTCACAAGAACACCAGCGCACCTCTTACCTTCCAGTGTGTGCTGATTAGGAGATGGGAGCCCCTAAAGTAGTGTCCTTGTCCCCACAGGCAGCATATTTGTTGGTGGCTATTTGGTTTCTGAATTTTTATGTTGGCACAATCTGAGCAAGAACTTAAATTAAAAAAAGATTTCTATACCATGCATCAATTGTCAGATAGGCAGAGAGGTGCAGTCCTCAGCCAGAGCCACCTGACTACATAGAAGGGAGCCCTTGCCACTTGAGGCAGCATCTGCCATAGCCACCACCTCACTGTGACACACATCATTTCAGCTCTGGGGATTCTTAACCTTACGCTCTGAAAAACGAAGAGCTCCCTGCACCAAAGAAAATAGCTTTCACCTTTAAAAATGAGAATAACTGTAAGGAATAAATTTTAAGCTGGATGTGGTGGTTCACACATGTGGTCCTAGGACTTGGCAGGCTGGGTAGGAGGAGCTATATAGCATGGCTCATCTTATACTTTGCATGGAGCAAGAGCTTTACCTGGAGCACTGTGGTATCGTATTTTAACCCTACTTACTTTCTTTTTTAAATTTTATTTTATGTGCATTGGTGTTTGCCTTGGGTGTTGGGCCCTCTGGAATTGGAGTTACAGACAGTTGTGAGCTGCCATGTGGGTGCTGGGATTTGAACCTGGGTCCTCTGGAAAGCAGTCAGTGTTCTTAACCACTGAGCCATCTCTTCAGCCCCAGCCCCGGTACTTTACTTTCTCTGTAAGCAGTTGATGACATCTCCCTGTGTTGACTTCACAGCCCATAGGGAGTGGGGTAGGGTGCTCACTTGTGACTAAAGAGAACAATACTTTTATTTAAATCATCATGTTCCCATGATTTTGAAAATGTTCTATGAAAAATTAGACAGGACAAAACAAGAAAAAAAATGATTTTAGAGGGCCGAGTATATAGCTCACCAATACTTGCTACTGAGCCCCGTCACCAGTACCCCCCATACACACACATACACGTCAAATTGAGAGATGGCTTTAAAAACTGCTAAGGATATGTGGGGTGCAGATGCCCCTTTACATCCTAAAGAGTCAAATTCGGCAAACCTGCTGTGGATTGAAAACACCATAAGTTAAAACCACTATGACAGACATGCTTAGTCCACTGAGTACCATCATAGCCGCAGTACAGGGTGCATACCAAGTGGCCTCATCTCCTGGTTGCAGTATGAAATGAGCTGCAGTTATTTCCATCACCCACCATCCAGAGAGAGTGCTAGACCACTGTTACCACAGGCCACCAGTCAAGGCTCCAATTGCAGTTTCTACTGAGAGTATATAATTTTGATCCTGTCGTTAAGTTGAAAGATTCTGAAGTAGAGCCGTTGTTAGTTAGGTTGCATGGCATCCCTGGCTGTCAAGGTACAAGTCAAAATTCCAATTCGAGGAATGGAAGTACCCTGAAGTCAGACAGTCTTTATGCTCTCGGTGGGCCTCTAGGTGCTAAGGAAGATTAGCGAATGTCAGAGGATTTTGTTCAGTTTTAACAGTTTCATTGGACACTTAAAATTCACATTGTACTATTCAGAGATGGTCCTGTGAATGTGTGTGTGCTCTGTCTTCAAGTACAGAGCTACTCAGAAATGAGAACCCAGATGGGCAAATAAATATCACTCATCATGCACTACTGAGTACTCCCAAAGTGTTGGTTTCCATAGAAACATGCATCATAGTGCATCCTAGCCAGTATTTGCTGAGAACTTACTGTATGCATCACACCGTTCCTTTTGCTTTCCAGTTATCTAGGTTACTAATTAATGTAGGGTGAGAAATGAGGGCTAAAGAATTTAAATTGACTAAAAAACAGTAGGCAGAACTCTTTAGTTCATACAGCAGGACAGGCTCTCAATCCCACTGCAGCTTTGAGTGGTTTCAAAATGAGAAAATAGCTTGCACGGGCACATTCAAGATGCCATAACAAACCACTAGGCAAGTGCTGTCCTTCCAGCCAGAGGAGGCTCTGTCACCAACATGGCTTAATCAAGGTGTAGACAAAATAGAGTCAATTCTCTGCAGCCAGACTCAAGTTCACCTTCCTCTGCCTCCATGATTACTTGGTAAGAACCACAGTAGAGACAGTGGTTTCTACACTTTGCAGATGTGGAGTGGCTGCTTTGGTTGGCTGGACATATCTCTGGCTTAGGAGGTTATGCTGAATCCTGGCAGTTGGGATCTCTCTGTGTGAATGCTGTTGAATGATTGTCAGGGTGCGGTGACTGTCACGTGACGAGGAAGGATGAGCACCTCACTCTCTGGAACACTAACGCACATACTCCATGTCCTAGGCTTCTTTGGACCAACCCTGAACAGTTTTATCCACATTCTCATGTACTCCTACTATGGGCTCTCTGTGTTCCCGTCCATGCACAAGTACCTTTGGTGGAAGAAATACCTCACACAGGCTCAGCTGGTATGTGCTGCTTTCAATTTGCTTCTTCACGTGGTTCACAGACAGGGAAGGAATAGGCCATTCAGGCTCTGTGACTAAGCTGCCTTTTATCTTAACATGGCCTAGAGGAATCACAGTTCAGCCACTAGAGTGTCTTTTGTGTTTGCAATTAGCTTCTAAATGGAAATTTTCTGATTTGGAATATACATAAACATTTTTTAAGTTAATGTACAAATTAAATCATTTTGATAAAAATGATCTAACTGCTACTTTTCCGTGAGAAAATAGACAAATTTATATACTCATATAATCTCAAATGCAGTCTCTGGGCAGTATAGTAGACTACTGAGGCATTCTTCTGCAGGATATATAGCAAGGGACAGTAGCCGTGTGTAGCTAGGGCCCACCTCCCATGGGACCTGTACTTACTGCAGCCCCCTCTGCCTTCCAGGTGCAGTTCGTACTCACCATCACGCACACACTCAGTGCCGTGGTCAAGCCCTGCGGCTTCCCCTTTGGCTGTCTCATCTTCCAGTCTTCGTATATGATGACATTGGTTATCCTGTTCTTAAACTTCTATGTTCAGGTATGTAGGATGCAATGTTCAGGGTTAAGTGGCCAACTGTCCAATGCACTGTGTGTTTAAGATAATGGTATGCAGAGGAGGAAGTAAAGGGCACTTACTGTCCTAACCCTTTTCCCCACATCCTCCTCCAAGAACAGCCAGCGAACAGTCCAGTTGGCCTTTGCTGAGGACTTTTGCTGAGGGACTGAGTTACATTATGTCTACGTGGGGTCCTGCCCCATGCCACCACCCAAAAGCTGCCACCCAGATCTGACATCTGAAAGCTGAACATGTGTGGTAACACAGAGCCAAGAGGACCGAGTGGAGAAAAGCTTGGGCACAGTAATGTGTAGTGTTTAATAATGAATTCAGGAAACTTCCATTGGCCCCTCTGACCCTGAGGTGGGAGGCAGTGTTCATTTGGGGAAATTCCTTTAAGTCAAACCCAGCATGGACAGGGCATGCTGACTCGCTCATTGTCAAGTGACATTTTCTTTTCAATGAACAATTTAAATGAGAGAGTCCTTCAAAGTGGCTTTAAGAACCCATGCCAGTTGTTGCAGCAAAGGTCACAGGTGGTTGAGAATTTTAAATGGCAGGGCTAGGGAAATGGAAAGACTGCTTCAAACAAAAAACAAGAACCATAATTTATATTCACATAGTATTTTTGTAATTCTATTCAACTCTATTTTCTTCCCCAGACAATTGCTCTCACTTTTTAGTTTTTGTCCCACAGTGATTTTATGTGAAGGACCACTGTGGGAACTGGGCCTTTGACAGTTTTTCAGAGTGTTTCTGAACTGGATTGACTGGCCCCTTTGTAACAAATCCGTTTCCTTCGAGGGTGTCTAAAGAAAGACACATTGGTGGAACCAAACAGATCCATACATACACACCAGAGCTGGAAAGGAATGGCTTGGGCTTACAGTAGCCCAGCAGTAGTAGGCAATGGCCACAAAAACTATCTCTACACATTGGCTCAGACTGAATCTTAGTTCTGACTGTATACCATTCCAGTTTTGACCCTTGTTAATGCCATAAATTGCTTTTTAAAAGTAAAAATGCTGTTATCCTAGCACTGGAAAGGTAGAGAAGATCAGGAGTTCAAGGTGATCATGGGATACATAGCAAGTTGGAGACCAGCCTGGGCTGAACGAGACCTTGTCTTAATCAATCAGTCAATATGAGATGGCAGATGAGGTATTTCATCAGAATGAGAGAAAGAGACATATAAGGTTGAGTGGAGTTCTGTGGAGATGACGTAATTAATATCCATCAGACCCTGCATTCCATCTTCAGTACTAAAGAAAATGATTACAACCCTGTAATTACAATCTCTAAATAATAAAGTAAAATAACAGCTCCCTTTAGCTTGAATTTTAAAGGAAGTTATATTTTTCCAAGTGAATACCTAATGTAAGCTGCTTTGAATGCTAAGTAAATTCTGATATAACACAGATAACGTGAAATAACCTACACTTACATTCATGCATTTGCCTTGGTTTTTACCTGAGCTTTATAGAAAGAGGCTTAAAAACAAACAAGTTCTTACTTAGAAGGTGCAGTGCCAAGGGAAGTTGTGAGGTGCCTTAACTGCATGCTATGTCAGAGGGGATGACTGGCTTATTAAAATGGCTCCTCTGTTCTCTCTCCTATCTGTGCTCTGACAGACATACAGAAGAAAGCCAGCGAAGAAAGAGATGCAAGAGCAGCCTGCAGGGAAAGAGGTGAAGAATGGTTTGCCCAAAGCCCCCTTCATTGCAGCTAACGGTGTGACAAACAAGAAGGTGCAATAAATGAAGTCACGGGAAAAGCATAAAAAGTGCAGCAGCCCCACAGATGAGCTTGTTTTAAAGCAAAGACTGAATTGAAAGTTGTGTTTTAGCATAAACTAATTCCTTTTGAGTTTGTAAATCACTTGTACCCAGAATGTATTATAATACATTGCTATTAGGTTACTCTATTAACTGAAGCGATGCCAACCTCTACAAACCTCAGAACAGGTGCAGCAGCCCGTCCCTCCTGAGCTCTTCATAATGCCTTATTCGCACAGAAAACCAGGAGACATGGGCTTTGTTTTCATGGCAAGTCTTCAGAGTTAATTTTCTTTAGATTACATGTGTAAAATAAAATGTTAATTATATTGTAAAGGCCAGGGTCTTCTCTAGTCCATGTCAAGCAATAACTGTCAGAGCATAAATCGATGGTCAGTCCACTTGCTCTTTAAGGCATCAACCCTAGGAAGTGCTTAAATGGGGTCCTTAACAAGACAGAATCTAGCATCATGTCTCCCTTGCTGAAGCCAGGGAGTCTGCTACAGTTTCTAACCACTCTGATTCTAAATTCAGTGACCACAGTGATGAGATTTGTTCATCTTTCAACATAGTTTGAGAACTAGTCATTCTATGAACGAACAACTTCTTGAGCTGGGTGGTATACACCCGTGATCCCAAGTGTTGAGACAGCCTGGGCTACATGGGTGCAAGAAGACCCTGTCTCAATCAGAAAACAAGTTTCTTTTGCCAAATCATCATAACTCAGGGGCTTTGGGCAGGAGCCGTCTCTGTTTCAATTGGCTTCCTTACTCATGCTTTCCTGCCTAACTCCCTTGCTAGTCTGGATCCACAGAGTCGTGTCTCCATATCAAAAGCTGTGTCTACATAGAGCTGCCATGCTTTTTCTGAGCAAAGGCTGGAGTCCAAGTTCAGTTGGCACTGAAGTGCAACTGGAATACTTACAAATCATAATCAACAGAGGCAAGACAGACATCACCTTTGTCAACTGTTGCTTCTGAGCCGACTCATGAATTTTATCCCAAGTAGTTGCTATCAGTCTTCATAAGTTTAAGTTTCAGAAAATAGAAAAGGATGTAGTCATTGGAAAGATCCCATGGGCTGGGAATTAGCCACCCTGAGAATGTGTCTGGCCCAAGCAGCGTACCCTTTCCATGCTCAGAACTGTGGTCTCCCCTGAGAAGCCAGTTCAGAGGCAGACCACGGCCCTGGCCACTGCCTTTCCACCACTGTTAAAAACTGTACCTAGCATGAGACAGTACAAACTCCAAAACATGACTCATTAACTTCGACTATTTCCCCTCCATTTTAGCAAATATGTACTTGGGTCATGGCTCTGGCATCCAGCCACATGGTAGGCTTTTCTTAAGTGCCAACAGTAGCACCTGCCTACCCTTGTCTTCCTTTCTGGGCAAGCTCCCATTTTAACTTTTCCCTGTTTAAAAAAAATGGTACTGACTTTTTAAACTTGTAAGTATACCGCTTTTCTCAGTGGTAGTCCCTGTCCTGTGCCATCCCTCATTGTCATTCCTGTTGAACAGACTCCTCCTGTCTGGTGACCACCTAATATTCAATGTATTTTCTCAAACTGATCTGCTCCCAGGTGCTTAACCACCATCCCTAGTAGCTTAGACTCAAGCTAGTGAGTTATTCTTTCCCAAGAATTCATTTTATGGGTTATCTCCGAGTGTGTCACTGTTCTTCTGTGACAAGGCACAGGTTAGCCAAAGGGGAAAACCCCCTGGTGAAACTGGAGTTCAGTTTTTGTTCTCGAACATGGCCTGTAATTGGTTACTGAAATGAATTCTGGGCTAAAACTGAGACTGAAGAGGCCTCACTGGTCCTTGCACCCGCATTGCTCTTACTGGCCAGTCCAGCACACCTGCTGTTGGGATGTTTGCAGGACTTCACATCTGTGGAGCACAGTGGACGTCAGTTTTGTATAGCAGTTCAATAATGGCAGCTTGAAGAACCAGCCAGCTTTAAATCTCCCAGAGCAAAGCTCAGTACAACACTCAGCCTTAAACCACTCCAGGGCCAACAAGACATGCAGAGCTATGAAACCTGAGCTGCAAAACTGGGATCTGGTAAATATTTAACCCATTTATTCTTACTGTGAATTTTCTAAAATAGAAGTATAAAAAATGTCTATCTCTATAATCTGATAAAACAGTTTCCCAAGTAAATCCCCTTTTATTCATGAGAATAAAAGTACTTGGGAACTAAAATACCTTAATTTCCCCAGCTTTTAAAATAAAATGGAATGTTTGCTGAATGTAATTAAGCATAGAAAATGTCAACCTGTCAGAATTATATTTATACATATTGGTGGATAAGTTCCTGTCTTCCCACATCAGAGAATTATTTTTTTACCAAAATAGAATTTTGTAAGAGACCATTCTAGTTCTTCCCAACATTCCTGTGTCATTTAAGAACATTAGTAGAGGTCACTTCTCTGGGAATTGAGGGTTTTACTTTTTGTTTTCCTTTGAAAGTACTGCATCTAAAGAACACAGTATCATGACTGGGGTGAAAGGGAGGCAGAAGCCATTTTTCTTTTAGATAAAAAGCATTCTGTGTGATTGTTGTATAATAAATTGATTTTTACGCTAAAACGTGTTGCACTTTTTCTTATTTGGCTCAAAGAAGGTAAAATGTGGGCCTGTGTGGTATTCTAAGTGGTCTATTATTGGGGGATTATTTTTACCAATAAAGTGATTTTTAGTGATTAATCTTAGATTTTCAATTCATTTCAACAAGCAGTGTTACTGACATTGTTAATACAGTATTTATATAATGAATGAGATAGGAAGGCTGGGATTAAATGGAAATAGTGAAAACAAGTCAAATAAAAATCTTGTGTAAAGCTTCACCAAGAGGATAGATAAAGGGGAGGATAAGATAGATGGACTTGAAGACAAGGTTGGGATTTGGGACATTCCAATAAAGACAGAGATTAGTTGGTCAAGAGACATGGACAGGACTTACAGGACACTCGGAAACAACCACATCATGGGCATAAAAGAAAGTGAATTCCCTTCTAAAGGAATAGAAAACATTTTAAATGATGCCACAGCAGAAATTTCCTTAAATTAGGCAAAAAAAAAGCCTATGTAGATACTGAAGGCATTTAGAAAAGAAACAGACAAGACATTTTCATGTCATAATTAACTCACTGAATACTGACAACAAAGACAGTATAGTGATAGTGATCAGAGAGAAGCAGCAACTCACATGACAGAGGCAGGCCTGTCACAGTAACCACAGACTCGACAGAAACTAGGAAAGCTGCAGTGGTCTAGAGAGCACTTGGATACAGGAGCGGGGAGGCTCTTGGGATGATACAGGAGCAGGGAGACACTTGGAACAATGCAAGTTTTTTAAAAACAACAACTGCCAATATAGACTACTATACCCAGAAAGGCTATCAGTCATAATTGGGAAAAAAATCCATAAAAAGAAATAGGTCAGCCTAAGGACTATGCATGGGGGAACCTATCCAGGCAGACCAGCCCATCCAGAGTCTGCCAGCATCGAGGTGCTAGTCCTGCCTCCACCCATGGCAAGAGGAGAGTCATCAGAGTATTACACCTGCTTGCACACACCGGAAGAGAACCTTGGACCCATACCCACAGTCAACAACAGAAAGATCAATATGACACCACCAGAGACTAGGGACTCCACACCAGCAAGACCTGAACATCCCAACACAGATGAAGCAGAAGAGAATGACCTTAAAAACAACTTCATGAAGATGATAGACACCCTCAAAGAGGAAATGAGAAAATACTTTAAAGAAATGGAAGAAAAAAATCAATAGATTCATAGACCAAAGAAAATCTTAAGTCCAACAAATCCCTAACACAAAATGTCCAGGAAATATGGGACACTATTATTCTTAGGCCAAACCTAAGAATAATAGGTTGAATATGTTTTTCATATTCAAAGGTGAAGAAAACATATTCAACAAAATCACAGAAGAAAACTTTCCCAACCTAAAGAAAGACATGCCAATGAAAATACAAGAAGCTTACAGAACACCAGAGTGAACCACAAAAAAGTCCCCTTGCCACATAATAATCAAAACAACAAGCATACAGAATAAAGAATATTAAGAGCAGCAAGGAAAAAGGCCAATTAACATATAAAGGCAAACCTATCAGAATTACACCTGACTTCTCCATGAAAACTCTGAAATATAAATATGTGGATAGATGTTTTAACAACACTAAGAGACCACAGATGCCAGCCCAGACTGCTATACCCAGCAAAGCTTTCAATCACTATAGATGGAGAAAACAAGATATTCCATGACAAAACCAGTTTTAAACAATACATGTCCACTAATCCAGCACTATAGAAAGTTCTGGAAGGAAAACTCCAACCCAAGGAAGTTGACTATACTCACAAAAACATAGAAAATAGATAAAAACCCACTTTACCAAAAGACAAAGAAAAAAAGAGGGGGGGACTCTAGGCATCTGGTCTGGTCTGAAACTGCGGCCACACCCCTTTGGGTGTGTCTTCAGGCGGATGGAAGCAAAAAGAGAGGAGCTTGAGGGTGGCTTTCCTTTGTGCGTGCTTTGTGTTGGATCAGCGGATCCAGTAGGAAGAGCAGGGAAACATTCTGGTGGTCCTTTGTATTTTTCTATGTAATTGCCCCCAATAAACACCCATTTATCATTTATCTTGGGTCTAGTGATATAATTACTTCCTCGCCTTCAGTTGGCACCCAATGTTTTCTTGGGTAGGTCCCTGCAACCACCTGGTGGCTGGCTGTACAGCCCATGGCTTTTGCATTTTGCTCCAGCTGCTAAGTTGGCTGCACAGTTTCTGTGGCCTGCCTGGGGAAAAGCCAGTACTTTGCTGTGCCTTGGATTTGCAGGTGCGCACCTGTGGAAAATAGCCCCAAACTTTGAGTCACAGTGATTTTCCTTCCACTTGATTTGCCTGCCTGACTGCAAGGTTGCCTATGAGCCAACAATCACCCAGATCTCCACATT